TTGACAAATAAGAAAAATTATGTATGTTTTAATAAAATTACATTCAAATATTCAACTTGTCCAAATATTAATAAAATCAAGTATGAAATAGTAAACTAAAACATATAAAATTATATAGTCAAAGTATAAAATCAAGTCTTTAATACCCACTCGTCTCAAATATCTTTGATACTCAATTTGAAATCCTGTGAATTGATATAATTAAAGTGATGAAACTGTGAAGGATATGGGTATGATTTGTGAGTGTGGTGTAAATGTGGTTGCATAAACATCATGGACTAATGATGACTTTGGATGATATTTGTATGGCTATGTGTATAACAATAAAAAGAAGACAAGCATCTCTTATTTACCCTTTTTTCTATTACAATGTTGTTCCTTTTTTTTTTTTTCCTTGATGTGAGTTATGTGTATGTAGTTAATTAAATATTCTTTCTTTATTTTTAGGGATCTCTAATTGAACATTAAAAATGTGATATTTCACTTTGATTAAATGAATTTTATGTATAGCTTCACTATTTTAGTTGTAGTACTTTATAGGAGTTCAAATTGAGTATTAAAAATATTTTTGGGACACATGAATATTTAAGATTTGATTTTATACTTTGCATAAATTTATATGTTTTAGTTTACTATTTCACGTTGGATTTTATTAATATTTAAATAATAAGTTAAATATTTAAATGTAATTTTATTAAAAGTTACATAATTTTGTTATTTGTGTAAAAAAAGGATCAAAATGCGTGAAATTAGGAATTTGATTTAAGTGCAAATCCTTCAAAAGTTTGGGAACTAAATTGTAATAAAATAGTTTAAATTAGGGATTAAATTGAATAAATTTGAATTTTAGGGATCAAAGTGCACAAGATTTGAAGTTAAGGGGCCAACTAATATTATTTTACCATTAAAATTTATAGGATTTAAAACGGATGAGTTGAAGGTGTTTTATCATCCATCAATGGAGGGATTACGGATGGCCATTTCTCTAAAGTTGAGGGATCATTATGAATTGTTTTAAAGTAGAAGGACAATAATGACTTCTTTTGTAACATTGGAGGATTTTTAGTGACATTAAGCCAACTAAAAGTAAAAACTAACAATTTATTTAAGGTGAATTTTAACACCAGCAACAAAAAATGTAAACTAGATTAGTCATATTAAAACTATTTTTATTCTTATATATTTAATAATCATTACAATAAATTAAAAAAAATATGGAAGTAAATGATTTTTTTGTTTAAAGTTACAAAATTATTAAAAATTTTAAAAAAATAAAAATAAAAAGCTCAACATACTAAACAGAGCCCAATTTTAAACATGTTGAGTAATATGGTTCATTAAAATAAACTACTATTATATCTCTAAATGAGTTCTATGAGTTTGGCTTGGCTATCTGACTCAAAAGACCTCTATGTTTTCCTGTAAGTTGATTGGATGCTGCAATCAATGCAGTAGCCAAGTTATTACTTTAAAGTCGTTCCCATATCAAATGCACCCTATAAAATTGGATAATGTTATGGGGTTTGATTGACGTTGGAAGCAGTTTTTTGAAAGACAAAGTTAATTTCTTTATTGTCTCTTGATTATAAATATTTATCTTTGTGAACATCTTTTTCACTTGGTAGTAGATGACTGCATTGTTCATTTTCTTTTTTCTTGGAAGGTTGAGATTGTTGAGAATATGCTCAGCCTCTCAATCACAATTTGATTCAAAGTATTATTTTGTAACTGTGCAGCAACATTACATATCTTCAGCCCGAGAACTTTCAAGATTGACTGGTGTACGCAGAGCTCCAATAATACAACATTTTGCAGAAACAATTTCAGGATCAACAACAATTAGGAGCTTTGATCAACAATTGAGATTCAGAGAGACAAACATGAAACTGAATGACTATTATTCTCAGCCATTATTTTATAGTGCTGGGGCAAATTCATGGTTGTGCTTCCGCCTAGATATGCTATCTTCTATCATGTTTGCCTTCTTTTTGGTCTTCTTAATCTCCATTCCACAGGGAGTAATTGATCCAGGTAAGGGAAAGCAGACTGGCATTTCTGTTAATTATTGTTTATGAAAAATGGTGGAGGCCAATGAGTAAGTCTATTGTGTGCTCTCATGTTTAGGCATTGCTGGCTTATCCGTTACATATGGAATCAGTCTAAATAGGTTGCAATCTTCTATGATGTGGGGTCTATCCTATTTGGAGAATGGAATTGTATCGGTTGAGAGAATACTTCAGTACAGTAGCATTCCCAGTGAGTCACCTCTAGTGATAGAAAGAGATCGTCCAGCCCATGCTTGGCCATCATTCGGAGAAATCCATATTCATGATCTGCAGGTATAACTTAGTTACATAGGTTTTACAACTTGTTTTTACATGATATTTGAATGCTAATCTTTCTAGGCCAATTTAGGTACGGTATGCCCCAAATTTGCCACTTGTGTTGCGAGGCCTTACATGCACTTTTCCAGGAGAATTGAAAACTGGTATCGTAGGGAGAACAGGAAGTGGTAAATCAACACTTATACAAACACTTTTTCGGATTGTTGAACCTGCAGCTGGTCAGATTATAATAGATGGTGTCAACATTTCATCCATTGGATTGCATGATCTACGGTCAAGACTAAGCATCATTCCTCAGGATCCTACTATGTTCGAAGGGACAGTACGGAGCAATCTGGATCCTCTTGAAGAGTACACTGATGAACAGATTTGGGAGGTGGGTACTGACTATTAGTAATGGGAAAACGTTTTGGTTTGCAAAATTTCACTTTCAACTATTGTTCCATGTGGAGAAATTCTAAACTGGATTTTGATTTTTCTAGGCTCTGGATAAGTGCCAACTTGGAGATGAAGTTAGGAAGAAGGAAGAGAAACTAGATTCTACAGGTTTGGTGTTCCCTCTTTTTTTTCTTCTTCTTCTTCTCATCACCATTGTGACATACTAGTTTTTATCCTAAATCTAGTGATTAAATGTACCGTATCATACTTTGGTGCTTCATCAGTCAGTGAGAATGGAGAGAATTGGAGCATGGGACAGAGACAGCTTGTCTGTCTTGGGCGTGTGTTGCTGAAGAAAAGTAAGGTCTTAGTGCTTGACGAAGCTACTGCATCTGTGGACACAGCTACTGATAGTCTAATTCAGCAAACTCTAAAGAAACACTTCAGTCGCTGTACTGTCATAACCATTGCACATAGGATAACTTCTGTTCTAGATAGTGACATGGTCCTGTTTTTAAATCAAGGTTAGTATAGGTATATCATATACCGTATATGGTTCTATATATGTCGGTCTACATATATTTTTCTTTATTTATGTTTTCTTAACTGGTGCAGGAGTTGTGGAAGAAAATGATTCTCCAGCAAAATTACTCGGAAACAAGTCTTCCTCTTTTGCTCAACTTGTGGCTGAGTACAATGCAAGATCAAATTCTAGTTTCCACCATTGAACATCAGCTGATATAAGTGGAAGTTGTTTTCTAGTTATTGGACTCCATAAGACTTGTTATTTGCAATTCAAGCTTCAGAATTTTATGTATGGATGTCTCAATAACTTTCACTTTGTCATGATGCTATGCTACTTACCAAGAGACCCATCGAAAGTAGAAAACAAAAAGTAAGAACTTTTTATATAAAGGACAGTGATTGGTACACTCATTAGTTCAATATTTTTTTGTTTAGTCATTAAAAATTATTATTTTTTAATCTGAAATTAAAAACAGATAAATATAATGATACAATCATGTATACAGGATACAAGAATTGATTGAATTGATTGTATTTATATTATATTTTTAATGATTAAATCGAAAAATGTTGAACCGAATATTGAACTGTTAGATGTACTAATCATTTCCCTTCTATAACACATCCTTTATTACAATATTCTAAAAAAAAAAAAAAAACAAACACTCACTCTATTTTTTTTCTCCCCTTGAAAAAAACAACTCTAACCTTCTGTCTAGAATCCTTCTTCAAGAAAAATCACAAAATATTTTAAATAAATAATTA